TCATTCTGAAGTTTTTTTTTTTTTTGATAACGAAACAACTTATGTAATATTTTCGGAGTCGTTTGTGCCAAAATGGGAAGCAGTTTGATTGTGGCTATGTAGAAAGGGAAAAGAAATCGCACGGAAGTGCACTTTGAGGATAGCTGGGGCAGCTGCCGTTACATGTTCTTATAACAACTTTTTATTTGTAGAGCGCTGGCTGCAGCTCGCGAACGACGTGCGGCTGGACATGCAACTGAGAACGGAACTATTTCGAGTGGTGAGAAGAAGGACCAATAAAGTTATCGCCCTGTGTTTGGAACACCTGTAAAAGTATTGCCAGTAAAGTGACTCTGCATATGCGACTCTGGTTCTTGAAAACGAGAGCTTCTTGTGTTTTACTCTTATGTAACAATTCCCGATTTTCTTGATCCAATCAACGATGAACTGCCACTGTTGACGCTCAGACAGAAGTCATTGACTAAATTGGATGCTCAAATTGCAATATTCTAAAAGTGCTAATGAAGTTTTCACGAGTATTTAATGTAGTATAATTCACGTTTTTGTTTCAATTAAGTCAAGTCAATGACTAACGTGGTCTAGTCGTTGCGCCTTAGCTTCTCAAGCGTTGTATTGTTTACTGAATCTCTGAATCTTGTTTTTGAAATAAATGTGGACCTTTCGGGCTTCAGTCGCTCTTGTTGCATGTTGCGTGTTGTGCTTACACTACTACTTGTTGATCAAAATCTGGATGTCTAACCAAATAATATCTTACAGCGAGTTACACACATGTTCAGCATTGCTATATTGTTTTGTAATTGATAATCTAGTAATGGTAAGCTGTGAACAATCCAGACAAATGAACAAGCTGTCAGCAGCCAGGCTGGATCAAATCCAGGTCGGTAATATTCAGTTCCTCCCCCTATAAATTAGCTTTGAGGATCAGACATTGACAAACTTGGGTTTTGATTATTACGATTGAGTAAAGTGTATAGTGGATACTCTAGTGTAAAAGTAATTGGAAAGTAGGGAGTTGGAAGATATTACTGGGGCTTCGTGAAGACGTTCCCCTTGTTCGAGTCGTACGAGTTTGCAATCCGTTTTTCAATTAGATAGTAAGTTGCTGACGACAACCATATTCTGCACAATAACTTTTCCTCCTGAATCTTGACCGCTACTATTTTTTGACGAGAAGCACTTCACTAAATGAGACCCGCTATCCAAGTAACGGTGATTAGGTACTAAATTAGAGCGAGATTATGGTATGAATCCGTAAAGTGCCTGTGTGTAATGTATATGTATTTTCCTGAGAATTCCTTTTTTATGTGCTTCGAACCCGCAGATTTAGGTAATTGAAATTTGTCGAACAAATTTCGACCAAATCTGGCCTTATCTACTGGTGTCGCTTAAACAAGCGGATTTTATAGCAGTAGACTTGGTATGTTCCGGTACTTTTTTACGCTAAACATGTTTTGTCTATGTACTTTACTCGAACAGGAACTGTCTGGGCTGGGATCGCGCGAGGCATGTTGGGCTAAGAACGTAGGTGACCGATATACAGCACTGAAAGAAGCAGCAAAAACGAGGTAAGGAGCTGAAAGGGTTGAAACATTTACGTTAGTGTTAGTTTGTGATTGTTAGTGGTTGCCCAGTGAACATAATATTTGCTGGTTCTTACTTTTTTTGCAAAACCAGTTCAAAGTATTGTGTTTCTCTTCCGCAAGGAATTTTTGTATTTTCAGAGGTGTTCTCTCACTAGGATTAGCGTTTTTCAAGAAAATAGGACAAAAGGAATCGAAAAGGCAGCTAAAATTTTCATGTCAAGTAAGCTGGTTGAGAAATAATTTACCAGTCAATAGTTTTTGTGTTGGTTCATAAGTTCACCAGACGAGTCATACTGTATTCCTGTCACTGAAAATGTGGGCGAGTAGTAGGGGACGAAAGTGCAACATATCATAAAACCAGTTTGGCTATGCACGCTAACGCGCGCAGTATATGTCGACGGCCACTTATCCACAATGGAGTCATTCAGCGGAATGTTGGATAATCAGAATAAGATAGTTCTCTCTAGATTCAAACGCTGAACTGCTGAGAGCATCACGCTCGATATATTTGAGCAAAGTTATTAGTGGTTGATCATAGCTCCGTCCACCCTAGTGCAAACCCTTCCGACGGTAAACTTGACCACTCTTCTTTTGACTGCTCCAAACCATTTTTTCCGCATTCCAAAAAATTTTTGAAGAGATGAATTTTTGGCTCTAGCCCCGCTTCCATGTGCCAGCTCCGCCTCCTTCGAGGAC